TCGTCCCTCCATGGCACTCCACCAACTGTCCCCAAGCCCTTTTCTGATTGTGAAGGCCCGTATATAAGAGCTTTCAAAATCCTTCAACATGCCTCAAGTGCCTTTAGATTAGGGCTCAATACAGCTGTGGCTGCAGGGTTCAGTGCCCAGGGCATGGGACCGCAGAGAAGTACAAGCACATGTGCAGCAAGCTGTAGTCTCAGGTTTTGCACCAACAGCCACCCTGCGAGTGATCATGTCGATTTCCGTGGATGTGCATCTGCTGAGTGGCAAGCGTGCCTTTGTAGAAGTTGAAACGGATGCATCCGTTGAGTCATTAAAGCACCGCGCCCAAACTGCTCTGGCGGTCCCGAGTAGGGGTCGGCTGCTGAATTCTTCTGGAGAGGTGCTGGACGGAGCACAAACGGTCACAGAAGCGGAGTTGAGGAGTGGAGACGTGCTCACCCTGCATGTGAACCAGGTCCAGATTAAAGGCAGGAAAGGCGGCCTTTGCAGCACTACATTCGCCGCAATCCTGGGCGATGGATCTGTGGTCACCTGGGGCTATGCCGACTGTGGTGGCGACAGCAGCGCGGTACAGGAGCAGCTGCGCGATGTGCAGCAGATCCAAGCTTCTGATGGTGCCTTTGCTGCAATCCTGGGCGATGGATCTGTGGTCACCTGGGGCTATGCCGACTGTGGTGGCGACAGCAGCGCGGTACAGGAGCAGCTGCGCGATGTGCAGCAGATCCAAGCTTCGCAGGCTGCATTTGCTGCAATCCTGGGCGATGGATCTGTGGCCACCTGGGGCTATGCCGACCAGGGTGGCGACAGCAGTGCGGTACAGGATCAGCTGCGTGATGTGCACCAGATCCAAGCTTCGCAGGCTGCATTTGCTGCAATCCTGGGCGATGGATCTGTGGTCACCTGGGGATTTAGGGGATTTAGGTTTTAGGGTTTAGGGGTTCCTTAATTCAACGACTCCTGTAAGGGTTCTTTATAAAGGGATGGATCTATAAGGGCTTAGGGTTTTTTTTGGGGATCAGGGGCAGTGCGGTACAGGATCAGCTGCGTGATGTGTAGCAGACGTTCCCGATGAGATGTGAGAAGCAGCTTGTGATCTGATGGCTTCCATGGGTTGCTGTAGGTTTCAGTCAAAGCATTAACGTTTACATTCCCATGTGCTATACATCTTTGCTCTCAGCAATGCCGCACATTTTCAATATATTTTTGGCCGAGCAACCTTAAACCCCAAACCCTACACCCTTGACCCTCTTGAAGAATGCGCATAATACCCTCAAAGTCCTGTTGTAACAAGTGAGGCCCCTTTATAGCCACTCTCCGCCACGCACCCACACACTAAAACACTCGTACCTGTATATGGGTGGTTCTCTAAATTAGGGTTTTTTAGGTCCCAAATATGGCATGCATCAATAATCGTTTATAGCACGTAGCGACGTAGCCACCTTGTGCGAATAGCAAAAGTCGAAAACCGTGCGTGTGGCAGAGCGCCTCCCGCGACGACCCCAGCACAATAGCGGGCTGACCCATAACTGCTGTTGAAGTCTTTTTGTTCCACTGCTGTATCCAAAGAGACCCCGATACAGCACTGACAGCTTACAGTTGCTCATGCCACGCAGCCCCGGAGTGCAAGCTCAATTACCCCTGCTACTTCCACAACCATCATTGCCAGATGACACCGCCATCGCTACTGCCATCGCTACCGCAATCCCAACCGTACCATCGCCAGCTTCGTCAAACTCACATTCAACCTCCTGAGGAGCAGTAGTAATCTTGTGGTTGGTGCTATCGAAGAGAGCCGCCGAAACTCGGATCGTATTGCTTGGACATTACTCGAAGCCTCGAGGCGGACGATGGCGAGGAGGAGGAGGACGACGATGCGCCCAACAAGAAGGGGCCCGGGTCTCTGGCTGCGCTGTCAGGGCTGAGCTCAGTGGACTCAGTGGACCCAACTTGCCATTTCAATTCCGCATGTCCTGGCCATGGAGCCCAGAAGCACCGGCAAAATACTGGAGCAAGAAAAACGAGTGAGTGGCAAAGAGGGAGTAAGGCAAAACAAAAACTTGTACTCGCAGTCAGTCACATTGTGTTTTTTGCCAGCGCATGATGGTGACACCGGGGGTTTTCTTCACATGTCAACCAAAAGGCGCTTTGATCTTGAGGCCCTTGGGATGGCTGCATTATGCATCTTGGCAGCATCTAGGCTGTTGAGGTTCATCTGCCAAGCTGCCATGTAAGAGACAGAGCCAGTCGAGAAGGAGTCTCAGAGCTCTTGGCAGCTCGTATGCTGGGTTTGGGAAACGGTCGGAATTGAATCAGTGAGTGGGCAGACCGATTTCGCTTTCTGGCTCCAGTCGTTTTGGACTGGCTCGAGGTGGCTTTTGGGATATGTTGTCGCCTGTTACTCATTTGTCGTATCTGAAGAAAGATTTTGAACTGTTGCAGATCGGTTTCGCTCTGTATTTCACATTTCGCACAATTCGTGCCGTCAGACTGTCGCCCAGGATGTAATACTGGCGTCACGGACGTCATATCCAGTTGCGCTGATGGACCGCAACCTAGTCGACCTAGTCTTCCCAGGAAAGTGTGTGCACATTCATGCTGAAAGACAGCATAGACTCACACATGCCACTGCAACCAGAGCTTGCCTGAGATCGGCTTCACATGCTACGGCAATGTGGTTTTGCGCAGCAGCCTCGGCAATAACTTCCTATCAGTCCACAGACTGTGCGCGAGTCATCACGGGTCCTCTATTTTGCATTTTTGTTTTTCAGCGCGTGTTGATGAGGTCGCCGGGTCACAGGACAAGAGAGTATTATGACTAAAGCCACTCCGATTCCCGATGCACGGTCGGCACATCAACTCAGGCAAAGAAAGTGCCGACAAGCCCGGACCATACCATGATTCTGCGCAAGCTTTGAGATGCAACTCTTCTGGGAGCGAGGCCCTACCCATCCTGGTTATTTGGCTGGTTGCTTGGGATGGTTTGCTATACTTATCCGGGCCCGCCCCTGAGCCACTGCCAAACTTATCGTGTTGTGTTCTGATTGTGTTCTGAAGTGTGCAGGTGCAGTTTTCTCAGACCTCTTGTTTGTGCCAAACGCTCCTTTGAGCTAGCCTCAGCAGATCTGGCTGCGTTTCATGTTCCGCCACGTGATCGCTCTGTCAGGCGAGCGCTCACCAACAACAATATTCTGCTTTGGTTCAGCATCTGGTACCTGCTTATCCAAAATTCGATGTGGGCAAGAGCCTTAAAAGCAGCTTTTCAAGTGTCTTGTCAGCTGCTGCATGGCGTCGAGGTGTACAAGTCCCTGCAGCAGAAGCATGTCTGAGACTTGGGCTTGCCGTGGGCTTGTCGCAAAGTCTTTGCCCTGGCTGCGGCAGGTCTTCATTTGGCTTACGACCTGGTGGCTTGCAGATGCAACTCGAGCTTCCTTACTCTTTCTGGAGCGAGCCGTTGCCCATCAGCCTGTGCCGAGCACTCAGTCCGCTGGGGTTGGGGCCGCTTTTCCTTTCATTGCACCCCCGAACAGTGGGCGCATGCGACATGCATGGCCGAGCTCGTTTCAACGACAGCTGCAACAGTGCCCTCTCAATGCAGTGGATGGTTCAGGTGAGATGTGAGTAGAACGGAAAGAGAGCTTGCAGAAAGAGAGCTTGCAAAAAGAGCCGCCATCGGTTGTTGCCCAGTGCCAGGTTTGCGCGAGGTGTTTGGCAGGCCGGCTGCTGCAACTTTCAGAAACATGTTGCGATAGAGCTGGTGCAACTGTCCGGCTACATACCCGGGTCACGTGCTGCACAACTTGTCCGTGCACGTCCGTTTAGTACCGTATAGTATAAAAGTGTAGTACAGGGCAAAGGAAGCTGCCTGCAGCTATGCGATCATGTCACCGACGTTGCTGCTGGCTGCCTTGTTGCAAGCTTTAGAATTCTTCTAGCTTGACGCAAGTTGCAAAGCTGGAAAGTGCGTAAACCGGGCATGTTACCGAAATCTGAACGGTTTGCCAACAGCTTTGGTCAAGGCCTTTGTGTGGTGTGGTGCTGGACCCGTTGCTCGCCTAGCCAGCGGCCCAGCTTGGCTGTTTGGACACCTCCACAGAAGGACAAGACCGGAACGAAGACAGGAGACTCATGCGAACGAGGGCAGGTGGATGCGGTTGTGCCGCCCTCCCAACAACAGCAGAAGACATAGTGTCTGTAGTTGTCCGCAGGGATCGTTCAGAAACGGATGAAGGGCTGACTTTAAATGGCCGTGTCGCAGTTGTGTGTGTGTGTGTGTGTCAAAGCAGTGAAGCCAGGCCGGGTAGAGCTTGTCTCAGCATGTCCGGATCAGTAATCCAAAGGGAGTAGATATGCTTGTAAGTGAGTAAGCAAGGAAGTCGGCAGGTAAGTAGCCATGCAAACAAGCGAGTGGGTAAGCAGGGCGGTGAGTAGGTAGGCAGGGAAGTATGTAGGTAGGTATATAAGTAAGTAAATCAGTAAGTAAGCAACTAAGTAGCTAAGCAGTTGTAACTAGCATGTACATAGCTAGGGAAGTACAGAAGCACCAGAAATACTTACTTAAGTCGGCAAGGAAGTTAACAAGTACACACACAAGGTAGGGGAGTATGTAAGCAAGAGGGTCAGTTAGGAAGCAAGCAAACAACCAAGGACGTGACCGTATAAGTCAGTGACTAAGCAAGCAAGCAAGCAAAGAATGGAAGGAACTAGTCCACTGAGCCCACTCAGAAAGTGAGTAAGTAAGTATGGCTACGGCTCAAGCCAATTTTCGCTCAGCACACATATAGTGAGACGAGCCGGTCGAGGAGAGAAGCGCCCTCGAAAATGGCTGTAGTCAGCAAGATGGCGCGCTCGAATGGCCGAACTGCCCTCGCCGGGACTTTGGCGGCTACCGCCCTCCTTTCGGCCCCCAGTTTCGTTGCCCCAGGCAGTGAGGCTCCGCGCCAAATGCAGGCCCAGACTCGCAGCACTGCCGCCAGCAACGCGGCTTCGATGACCCAGGAGGCCGGCCAGCTGCACATGGCAGCAGCCGGTGGCAGCGCCGCGGTCATGGGTGCAGTGGCAGCCCTGGGGCCTCGACGTGCAGCAGCCAAGCGCACCCGCCAAACAGTGGCCACGCGCGCTGGGAAGCAGGAGTCTCCCGAAGGACTCTCGGAGCTCGTGGGCTTGGCAGAGCAGCTCGTTCATCGGCCAGGGCCGCAGCAGCTCTTCCTCTTGGTGCAGCAGCTGCAGGCCTTTGCCTCCGCAGAGCTGCGGCGTAGCGCCGCGCTTTCGGCCCCTGCAGCCAGGGCCTTCGAAGAGGTAGTACAGGGCGCCAATGAGGTGCTGGTCAACAGTGCCGACAAGCAGCTGAAATGGGCAGCCGGCGCTGCAGCATCACTGCTGCTGACATTCAGCGTTACCCTGCAGCCTGCCTTTGCCGCGGATGTAGTCAATTACTCCGATTTCATGGAGTCCGTCAACCGTGGGGATGTTGAGATGGTGCGCGTCCAGGACGATCAGCTCTCCGCGCAGTACACCACCAAGGATGGTGCTCGCAAAGAGGTGAACTTGATCCCCAACGCGCAGATTGAGGATCAGTTGTTCAACATTCTGGCACAGAAGAAGGTGGATGTGGTGATGCAAACTCCTGGAGCTAACTCCGGCGGGCCTCTGGACTTTCTCGCACGCTTCGCGGGTCCCATCGCTTGGCTCATCGCAGGTTTGCTCTTCCTCTTCGGAGGAGCCGGCACGGGAGGGCCAGCCGGACCCGGTGGCC